GTTACTCCTCTCGCCGCCGCAGTCACTGGTGACCAAATGCGTGGGCTGGTGCCAGGTCCTGCCTCCATGGGCAGTCCCGGAGCTCAGGGGGCTCCATCGTTTTGAGGGATAGTGGCAGTGCTGAGTCTGTGGCCTCCCGAGAATGGTTTGGACCCACACACAGTGGGTGGTTTTGAGAGGTTTGCACACACACACACAGGAGGTACACATATATGCTGTCAGACACATCACGCATGTGTGTGTTCACAGATCGTGTGTGCATTATAGGTAGAACAATTTTCAGGTGGGGCTGGTACACATTTAAAAATGACATCACATTTATAAACAGGCATTTATCACACATTTATAAACAGGTATCTCCCCATACAGAGCAGCTGCAGGTGTGTGAGTGCTGGGGCACGTGTGGGTAGGACACGTGTGTGCGTGGGTGTAGCCAGAAGAGTTTTGTTCCTCTGTGTGTGTGTGCCCATGCAGGTGACACGTGTGTGTCACACCTGTGCGTGTGCACAGCTTGCACTACACATGTGTGCTCATGGATGGGCAGGCTGTGTTTTTGTGCGTATGTGTGTGTGTGTGTGTGTGTGTGCGCGCACACGCATGGGCAGGCTCTGTGTGTGCACATACGTGTTTTCCTGTGGCTACCAGGCCTCCCTGGCCCACCCCAGGCTGTTCCCCGGGGTTTGGCAGGGCCCTGTTGGGGCACACGAGCAGTCCCACCCGAGCTGGCCCGCGCGGCAAGGCGCTAACTCAGCAGCTCGTATCAATACCGCTCCACTTACAGCGAAGGCCGCGTAATGAAAATCCGATGGGCACGCTGGTGGGAGTAAATAAGTATGCCATTAAAATAAGAAAATCAAAGCTCTGGACAGGTCTTTTCTCTTGCCCATTGATTTCTTTTATTACGGAAATATTGCTGCTAAATAACATTAGTGTGAACAATCTCAGCAGTGTTTTCTGTAGCTCCCGTGTCAATAACTCCACACCAGGCGGGGGATCCCCCCCAGCCTGGCTGCAGGGCCAGCAGCCCTGTCCATGCAAAAGGCTGCTCTGGGGGTTCCTTCCTCAGCATTCCCAGCTCAGCTGGGAAGAAAGAAACCATGACAAGCAGAGAAACCACATAGCACAGGGTAGCTCAGGCAAATGCCAGTAGGGTGGAGCTGGGCATAGACCCAGGCACCCTGGCTGCTCTGCTGCAGCAGGAGGGGTTGTCCCCATCCCAGCACAGAGCACTGAGTGCCAGGCATTCATTAAAGGGTCACAGAAAGCATCCCTTTCGTGGTTGCAACCTCTTAATCAGGTAAGTGTCTCCAATGACCAGCAAAGAAGGGATGAGTTCTGGACACAGCAAGTTCTGCATGCTGTTAGTGCCTCTGCTTCTTCTTCCCGTGAGTCTTTATCCATGCCCAAATCCATGCTGGCCTGACCCAGCTGCCTGCAGCATTTGGTTCTCATGGAGAAACTGAGGAAGAGGTTGGAAGCTCATCTTCAGTCACCCAGCTGCAGCACAGGGCCAGGGCTTGCCCCTTTCCCCCTTGGCTGCCCGGGGACACAGCATCCATCAAAATGTCCACAGGCAGCAGGTACTCCTTGGAGAGACAGAAGATGTGACCAGGACACACACAAAATACACACCCTTTGGTGTGCAGAGGCCGCATGGGACCCCAGGACACCCCCAAGGGCCACCAAACCCTTATGGAGTGGCTGGAGATGGGCAAGGAGTGTCAGCCACGGGCACCTGCATCCTGGGTCTGACTCTACCCCCACCCCAGCTGAAGCAACCATGAGGGGCATCTCCCCAGAGCTGTCACCAGGACTAATGCAGATCGCTGCCCTCTTTACACCTTCCCCCTGCAACTTGCTTTATCTTGCTGTCCCTCCACATGCAGTGGGTATTGATCAGCCCTCAGGATCTATCTCTCGATTCCTCCTGAGCTATCTCTCTGCTCCAAGTATCTCTCACTCTGCTGTGCTGTCTGCTGTGCCCGTCTATACCCTCACTATCCATCTGTGCCGCCTCAGCTGCAGCTGTCAATAGCCATTTGGGGAATTTCTCTCCAGCTGGGAGCATCACCAGACCCCATGGGTGCAAAATGCTGAGCAGCGGGGCAAAGGGGACATGGTCCTTCTTGCTTGCCCCAAGGAGAGCCTGACACACTTCATGACACACGTGCAGAACCCCAGAGCTGCTGTCATCACTGTGGAGGTTCTAGAGAGGAGCTGAGTAGGACAGGTCCCTTGGTGGCCATGCCCAAGGCAATGGGACACACTGCACCCTCTGGAGACCTTGGTGCTGCCACTAGCTGGCCTGGGTGCTAAACTGACCCAACCCCTCTGCCTTGCAGAAGGGGAGCTTCCCCAAACACTTGGGTTCCTGTTGGGCCATGGAGAAGTCATCACATCTGTCTCACCCCACCCAGCCCAGCTTTCAGTGTGCAGGGGATAAGGCACAGCCCAAAGCAGAGGGTGCAGCACAGTGGGGTGCAAGGCAGCAGCACTGGGAAGGGAAGCTGGAACCATGGGGTCCTGTGTAATGAGTCCCAAGGGTCATCTGGCCCTGTGGATCATTCTGAAATAGGGCCAGGTCTCATCTTCCCAGCAGCAATTCAACAAGAGTGCCACACTGACCAGCACTCAGAGGGGCTGGCAAGCACCAGGAGGTCCCTGCCTCTGCCGCAGCGGGATGGGATGGGCCAGTGCAAGCTACAGCTGTCCAGCACTGAAATAGGATGGCCGACAGCTAATTTATCTCCTGTGCAAAGATAAACAGCGCCTGGGGGCCCCGCAGGGTCGGGAGCTGCCCTGCGCTCCCAGGGAACCGCCTGATTTTTCCAGGAGAGCCTCCCTGGTGAGTATGGTGCACTGTGTCACATGCACTGAGGTGCCAGAAGCTTAAGGAGCCCTGAGAATCATCAGAGCCATGGCAGGACATGGGGTAGCTGCTCAGGAGATGCTCATAGGGAAACTGGAGAGCACAGAAGCAGCAGCTTTTCCCCACAGAGGGAAGTGGTGAAAGGGACAGAGCTGAGACATGGAGCCTGAGAGCGAAGTCAGCTCCTGCCATTAGCATGGCCAGTGGCTGGTTTTCCTCAAGATTTCCTTTCCTTTCTTTGCTTCAAGGAAAAGGGAGGACTTGGCTCATGCTGGCTGCCCCTGACCCTTGCAGCACACAGGTGGCCATGGAGGGGACAGAGCCACCAGCCCTTGCCACCCAGCCTCCTGTCATCCCATGCCACCAAAACCCAGTGCAGCAGTAGGAAATCTCAGTGGCAAACTGCTCTGGCTGTGGGATGGAATCAAAGCCACTGTCCCTTGTGCCCCAGTGTTGTGGGGCAATGCTGGTCCCTAAGCTGCCCTGGCCAAAAAAAGCCCAAGGAAGAGCAGGTGCCTCCTTTGCCTCCTGGCAAAGTTTCCTCCATAGAGAAAGCAGTCAGGAAAATCTGGCAGACAGGCAGGTGGAGGGAGAGTAAGGAAACAGTCAGGGGATGCTGCCAGCAGGCAGCACCCAAGGCAGAGAGATGCCGTGCTCTCACCTTGTTCTAAATCCTTGTGTGACATCTGCTGACACACTTGATGATACCCTGGTGCCACAGTTTACCCCACTGCAAGCAGGGACACAGGGCAAGCCAGGAGCACTGAGCCACTCCTGTGACAGAGACACTTGGCCTTGTTCTGCCCGCGCCACGAAGCCTCTTTGGGCATCCAGGCCACATTACAATCTGACCCCTTTAGCCAGGGGCCAGGCACACACAGCACCTGCCACAAAGATCCCTTCAAAGTCCCAGGCTGGGGGTCATGGATCACACTGCTGTGATACCCCAGCCCTTGAGGGTGGAGCTCAGGATTCAGCACTTGGAGCTTGCCCCGAACACCCCTTTGTGCCTGCACATGGATTGGTAGCATGAACACACACCCACCTCCCCCCAAAAAGCACGTGTGCACACTCCTGCCCCTCCCAACAGAGACTGCACACACCAACAGGTGAACACACAAAACACACACCCCCAAGTTCCCCACAGACACATAGAGGGCATTTATTATTGTCCTATAAGAGCAAACACACACGTGTGTGCACACTGCAGGTGCTCAGCCTCTCTGACAGTGCACGCTGCTTCTCATTTGCGTGTGCACGGTCACTGCTCCAGTGATGGACCCACATTCTCCCCACACACCACCGGGACATACACATCCCTTAAACCCCGGGCACACTCCCGATGGTGTGTGGGGCTCCCACACGTTTAATGCACTCACTTCTCCCACTGTGCACAGGCACAGGGGTGCTCAACACCCTGCTTACACACGCGTGGGGGGAGGCTCATCCATCCCACTACACACACGCAGGCAATGAGCACACACACACACATACACACCTTCTCCCAGCACACGCCAGTATCCACACACACACAGACAGACCCTCTAAAAGGTGCGCGATAGGGGCAGCACCCTCCTACGTGCTGCACAGACCCCTCGCACACCCTCCCTCCTTCACACTCCCTTCTCCTCACACGTCTATGTGTGCACAGCCTGCACACACCCCCCGCACTCCCCTCGTCCAGCACCTCCACACGGGCACACACTGGGGGTCTCCCAGCCCGTTCCGCCCCCGGCCCGGTCCCGCTCCCCCCCGCCGGCTCTCGGCGGGCCCGTGCGCGGCGATCCCCCGGGGCTGCCGTAAGAAGCCCAGCCCTCCCCGGGTGACTCCCTAGACGTGCGCTAGCAAATGGGAGCGGGGAGGGGTGTTGCTGTCTGACTGCCACTTGTTGCAAAAAAAAAAAAAAAAAAAAAAAAAAAAAAAAAAAAAAAAAAAAAAAAAAAGGAAGAAAGAGAGAAAGAAAGAAAAGAGGGGGAAAATCCCACCCACCCTCATCTGCTGCGGAATAAAAGAAATATCGGCGGGCGCGGCGCCATGTGAGCGGCGGGCCGGGGCCGGGACCGGGCGGAGCAGCCGGCCGTGCCCCCCGGGACGGCGGGGCGAGCCCCGGGCGGCGCTCGGAGCCGGCGGCATGGTGGAAAACCCCAGCCTGGCGGCCAAACCCGCCCTGGTGAGGGACGGAGCGGCCGGAGGGGCACCGGAGACGCGGGGGTGCATGGCGGGAGCGGGGTAGGGACACCGCGTTGGACAGGGAGCGGGAGCGGGATCGGGATTCCCGGTGGGAGCGGGAGGGGCGTCCCGGGAGGACAGGGCGCCCGGCAAGACCTTCCGGCGGGATCGGGACGGGGTCCCCGCGGGGACGGGGCGGTGGGGGCTCGGTAGGAGAGGGTTCCCCGTCGGGGCGGATGTCTCCGTTGGGACCGGGGGGCAAGGGGCTCCTCGGTAGGACGCGGTTCCCAGTGGAACTGGGGCGGGAGTCCCACCAGGACACGGGTCCCCAGCGGGATGGAGGAAGGAGGCTCCTCGGGTCGGACCCGTGTCCGGCAGGAGCGGGCACGGCGTCGCCGGCAGGAGCGGGGCTGTGGCGCCGGAGGGCCGGTTCCCCGCGGGGCAGGGTGCCGCGGTCCCGGCGGGGGACGAAGCCCCTCCGGCGGCGGGAGCGGCGACGGCTCCGCGGGCAACTTTCGGGCGAGGCCCCCGGGAGCGGCGGGGAGAGCGGGTGGGGTGGGGGATGCTTCCTCCCTTCCCTCCTCCTCCGCCGGCCCCGGCGGCAGCGCTGAGGCCGTGCTCTGTGCCCGCAGCCGGCCGCCCCGCCGCGGGGGCCGGGGCCGGCGGGGGGGCTGCGCTTGGCCGCCGTGATGGAGAGCCTGCAGCGGCAGCAGGCGGCCCGCCTGGCCCGCGGCCCCGACGGCGCTCCCCGACGGCCCCCGGGGGAGCCCGGCCCCGGCCCCGGGCCGCCGCCCGCCGCTCCCCGCCGCCGCCCGGCCCCCGGCCCGCGCCCGCCGCTCGCCGCTGCCGGGGAGGAGGAGGAGGACGAGGAGGAAGAGGAGGAAGAGGAGGAAGAAGGGGAGCCCCGCGAGCCACCGCCACCACCGCACCACGAATGGACCTACGAGGAGCAGTTCAAGCAGGTAAGGAGGCGTCGCTGCCCCGGCACCGGCTGCTCCCGGCAGGCATCCCCGGTGTCCCCCCAAACTCGCGTTCAGCTTTCCCTGAATGGACAGTCCTTATGCCCCCCACTGCTCCCAAACCCTGTCTGTATCCCACCCCGAAATGAGCAGCACCATGCCCCAGCCCGGACCCACCCTGAGTAGACATCCCCCATATCCCCATTAACCCCCAGACATTATTGCTATCCCACCCTAAATGAAACCCCACCAGTACTGTCCCCAAACCTCATCCTCCCCTAAATGGATACCCCCTGAATGCTCCTCACGTCCCCTATCCCTAAGCCCTGTCCCGTCCTTTAGGCATTGTCATCATCCTGTCTGCTCCCCATCTCCCTGCTACCAAACCCCATTTCAGCCCTGCTTCATGACCCCACCTCCCTCCTTGGTGTCCCCTGTACCTGTCCCCAGGCCCTGCATCATGATAGGGTGTCCTGTGTCCAGGCATCTCCCTGTGCCCACCCTGATCTGTGCTCCATCCTGCTGCCTTCTATAACGAGTAAAACAGCTGACCCCTGTCCATGGGGGATTTACAGAGATGGAAAAGGGCAGGGGCTCTGGTGTGTGGCTACCCCAAGGAGCTGGCGAGCTGTGGAGCTGAGTTGTTGTGTCTCTGCAAGGGCCAGGGTGTATTACAGATGGAGGAAGTAGCGCATACACCCTGTCCCCTCATTCCTGGTGGGTGTAGGGGAGACCCTTCTGCAGCTGGGGACATGGGGAAAGGGCTTCAGGAGCTCGTGTAAAGGATGGAGGAAAAGTCCCCCTGTATTTAATGTGTGTGGATCTCGTCTGAGCCGTGTTGTGCAAGCTCTGGTTTGCACACAGCGGGTGCCTCTGCATGCAGGGGTGTGGGCACGGAGTGCACAGCGCCAGGGCAGGTTTGTGCTCTCAGCTTCCTTGTGGGGGAGAGAGAGGCACAGTGGGTGACAGGGAAGATGTGGTGAGGAGGTGGAACACACAGAGATGTCCCCATAGAGCTGTTGTGTGGCATTTTAGGACGGTGCTGCTCAGGGACAGGAGGATGAGAGCACTTTGGTCTCATCCAGTTCCAGCAGGAGAGCAAGGGAACACCAGCAGGGACCCAACTTTTGGCTGCTGGAGGGGCGTGCTGCTGCCTTTTCTGTTTCAAATTGCCCAACACCTTGTTATTTTGGGGGGCCGGGGCTCATGCCCTGGCTACAAGGCAGCCGGTAGAGATGCAGACAGGGCACGGGCAGCACATTGCCCCCGGCTGTGCCCAGGGATGCTGCCAGAGCCTGGCGCTGCCTTGGAGCAGCCCGGGATGGGTGAGCTGCACAGGCCAAACAGCTCGTCCGGGAAGTGTTACATTACACCCCGCTGCACAGAAAAAGGCTGACTGTCCGGTTCCCGGGGTCAGCCGGGAGGTGGGAAGCAGCTCCTCCCTCCCAGGGAGGCTAGGAAAGCATCCCCGGCATTTCTCGTCCTTCAGCCTCCCGCCCTGCCCCTGTCTGGGGCTGCCCGGCTCCTTGTGCAGGGCAGGAATGCTGTGAACAGTGGGAGAGGGGTGACAGGAGAGGTTGGGGTGCGGGATAAATCCTGCCACAGCTTCCCACGGTGAGAGCTGGCTCGTTCCTTGTTTACTCTCCTTGGGTTTTTTCAACCCTGATTGGAAAAGTGACGGACCCCTCATCTGGAGACCCACGCCTGTGTTTCCCACCTTGTGGCGTGTCCCAGACAGCCCAGAGAACAACGGGATGTCCTTCTGTGGTTTGGAGCAGGCTGCAGTGCCAGCATGCTTTGGGGTCTGCAGGGTGGCTGTCACTGCTGTCCCTCCCCTGGGATCATGCAGGAGGGGACATTCCCCTGCCGGGGTGGGACATGTCCCTGCTGGGTCCTCCACAGCTGCAGGGCTGTGCCTCACCCAGCCTGGGGAACAGGTTCTCCGCTCTCTGCAGGGACTCAGTGGGGAGGGTGGCTGTGCTTCAGCTTTCGGAGGTTTCCCAGGGGTTGGGCTGTGATGCTGTGGGGGAGGTGAGGGGGCAGCGTGTGTCTGTCTGCTGGAAAGCTCTGGGGTAGTGGCAGTGTGGTTGGGAGAGTCCTGGAGCTGGAGAGAGACCCTTGGAGTAGCCAGAACTGTATTTCCCACCAGGACTCCCTGCTTGAAACTACCCAAACCATCATGCTGTCACCCAGGGTGGGATTCAGGGCTTGTCCCTGCTCTCATTATCCTGGGTGGGGGCACAGCTAAGTAAACAGAGACCATCAGATCCAGGCTGTTTGGCAGAAAGTGAGCAGAGAGAGACTTCCCCATCTCTCTGCAGTGGGGATGATGCCTTGATGGGGATAGGGTAGGAGGTTCGTGCAGGACCAGCCCGGGAAGCATTTCCACACAATGCAGTGGTGCTAAAAATGGGAGCAGAGGACGAGGTGGTTGTGGCAAAACCCACCGGGTTAACAGGCAAATGCTGCTTTGCACACAGGAGCGTTTTGGGGAAATATCCCACATGTGTGCTGTAGTTTTATGCGCTTCCTGAGGTGCTGGCTGGGGAGGGGGGGCTGGTGGGACCTTTGCTCTGACTGGGAGCGCTGCTGCAGTGTTAGGAGGCTGAGAGACCCCCTCACCCCTGCCTCTTGCATCAGCCCCCGGCGCCGGTTTATGTACCTTGATAAGGACGCATGGGTAGAGACCTGGGCAAAGGTCTGGGAGGTCTCCACACCCAGGGCTGTCAGGCAGACCCAGCCCTGGGGTGGGGGCTACCAAGTGGGGTGTGATTATGCATTAGCCATGAACCCCAGCTTCCCTAAGGGCTGGGATGCCTCCAGGTTATAATTCTGTGGTGCTGTATTATCTTTGACTTGGAGGGCACGGGTAAGAGCCTGGCATTTCTGGTGCCAAGCTCAGCTCCATGAATTCAGCTTTCCCCCTAGAGAAACCATGCGTATAGACAGGGATGGGTGCGCTGGTTTCCTCCAGTGATAAAAGAACAGCACCAGAACCTGGGGCTTTCTTCTCCATTCCGCAGGGTGGGAGGGACTCAAACATCTGGGCTTTGCATCCAGCTCTCTGTTAGCAGAGTGTTTGCTGGCAGGAGATGCCCTCCCTGCCAGGGCCCCTCTGGCATGTTCACACCCAGCTGTGATTGGGGGGATCAGCACCTCTGAAGCTCCTTCCTCCCTTCCCAGGAGCAGCTGCAGGAGGAGGTGAGCCCCAGCCAGCCCTTTAGGAACTCCAGGGTGTCTGGTAGCCTCAGTGGTTAATTTGGGGGTGGCTGGTTTTGCCAGCAGCTGTTTGCTATTATCCTCAGCCTAACCCTGGAGTGGCCGTTCCTCCTGCCTTGCCTGTCCCTGATGCCAGGAGTTGCCTCTTGCACCCACCCACCTGTCCTTAACATGCATTTAGGGAGGGCTTGCCGGCTGTGATGTGTGCACTCACATCTCAGAGCCTGGAGATGTGTGTGCCCCTGTAGACAAACACCTCCTCGTGACACAGAGGGTCATCCCAAAATGAATGGTGTGCACCCTCCTGCCTCTGTCCCTATTGCTTTCTCCTGTGGTGTTGTCCCTGGGGATGGAGGAAACAGAGTCAGGAATGCTCCAGGAATGGAGGTGGCTGAAGAGGGGGACTCTGAGGAGAGGGTAGTGGTCTCCATGCCACAGTGCCCTCCTCACCGTCAGTGCATCTTCAACCTAAGGGCAGGACCAAGGGCTCCCAGGGCTAAATTAGAGGGTCCTGATTAATCTGCAGAGTCACCGAGGGAGAAATGGACGCATTGCCCCATCCTTGTCTGCCTGGAGGCTTTTCTCCAGCAAACCTGTGAGCAGAGCTGTGCCCCTGATCTGAGACCACCTGCAGCGGGGAGGTGGCATCAGCAGCAAGGGTCAGTGTGCCAATCCCTGGAGCTCCAACAGCTCTGGCAACCCAGCAGCAGTGGAGGGCACAGGGCAGGACAGGGGGCTGCTGGGGTGTGGCTGGAAGGGCACACAGAGCTGTTCTGGGGGTGTGTGTGCCGACAGACCAACCTGAGTGTGTGCATCTGTATAAGTGACATGTAAGTGTGGAGGTGCGTGTGTGTGTGTGTGTGTATGTGGACCCACCTGAGTGCCCCTGTGTGTAGTGATCCCTGTGTGTCTGTATGGATGTACAGGAGCATGCAGAGTGTGTGAAAACCCATGGAAGTGCTGGAATGTGTTTATAGGTCCTTATGAGCACACAGGTGTGCATGGATCCATATGGCTGTGGTTGTGTGTGTGTGTGTGTGCCCACATGAGTCTGAACACACCTATGTTCACCATGTACAGGCACACGTGGGGTGTCCCAGTGTGTTTAGACATCTGCATGCCTGTACCAGTGACACAATCTTGGAATTGCATGGACCTTGAGGCAGGGTTTGAGGGCTAAGCCCCCTCCAAGGCTGCCTCTTGCCCAGCCCACAGTGCTGAGCAGTGGTGCTGGTGCCAGGCACCTGCTCCCATTGCTGCCCTCAGGGCACTTCCGGGCCCCACTGGAGCCTGTGGGATGCTCAGAGCCTCAGAAGCTGCCACAGCACTGTCTTCCAGACAAGGGTCCAAAGGGTTTGGGAGTGGGGCTCCAAGGAGGAGGTGTAAAAACTGGTAGAGAGTGTGAGAATACCCTCAGTGTGGAGGGGAGAGGAGCACCATCAGGAGCTCACACTTCCACCTCCCTCCCCAGCTGCCTCCCTGAAAGCAGATGCCAGTTGAGTCTTTGGGGAAGATGCACCCCCTCATCAACTTGGGCCTCCAATAATCCACTAATTGGGTTAATAATGGAGGTAAATCTCCTGTGCTGCCGGCCAGCTGGGCAGGTCTGCAGCGGGGAGATCGGATCTCAGGTGGTGGAGTCTGGCCTCAAGGGGATGGATGGATGGATGGATGGATGGATGTGTGTGTGTGAAGAGTTTGTAGGGATACATAAGCGTGGACAGGATCTGTGCAGAGGGGGAGCACATACAGGGGCTGTGTGAGTGTGCTTGCTGGGGCTGTTT